TATGGATTTTTTAACAAAGAACTCTCATTATCTAGAATGAAAGTTACAGAACTCAGTTTTAATTGAAATTAGACATAAACCGGAAGTGAAACAATAAATCTATTTCAGATTTAAATATAAGAATCTAAAATATTCATCTAGTAATTATATAAAAACTCTTTAGATACGCATGTCTCCAAGATAGTTGTATGTTGCCAATGTGAGAAATATTTTTGAAAGACGATCTAAAATAATTCAGTTGAAAATTAATTTCAATGATGATGATGATTCGTTGAATATAAAAATGCCTCATTGTGTCCCAAGGTGTGTTTTTTTATCAATTCTAAAAAAACATCGTGTTTTAAAACAAAGGCTTGTTTTAAATCAAATTTTTTCTGTATTTTTTGTATTTTTTTATTGAAATACCCCTTGCATCGCCGCGAAACTACGCCAAAACGTTGCATTCTGGCAGCTGCACACACGCAGCCGAAATTATAATTTCAAAAATGTAAGTAAAATTTTTTAATTGGATTTTTACTTCTATTGCGTACATTTATCGCCACGTTTGTATCTCCACCGAAGTCATAAGATTATACCCGGAATGTTTAGCCGAGATATCAGAAAGACGTTTTTGAGTAAGAAAAATCACGAAAATTAGCTCACGAGCCCACTACAAAAGCAATTAGATCAAGTGCAGCCCTTCGGCAAAACGAGTGATTTATTGCAAATAAGAAGCGCTTCGCAAGTTTTTACGTCCATTTTTATTCAACCTATTTAATACAAAAAAATCAAATAGTACAGCCATTTTGAACAAAACAGGCAAAAAAACTTGATTCGAAACAATTTTTTAAAAAAAAGTTTTAAAGTTTTTTTTTTCAAAAGTTTTAAAACAATTCTTTTTGAACAAATCCCTACTGAACCGCATATACATGAATTGGATTCTTACGAAATGATCTGGCAGTATTTTTACATCACCATAATGGCTGTATTTGTATATTGATTTGGCTATATATGCATGCGACTTGGCAGTATTTGTACATCACCTTAATGGCTGTATTTGTATATTGAGTTGGCTATATATGCATATGACTTGGTAGTATATGTATATTTGGTTGGCTGTATATGTATATGAGTTGGCGGTATATGCATAGGACTTGGTAGTATATGTATGGCACGTTACCAACCCTATCGCACCGCGTTGATCCCCGACAATTTAAGAAATATGTCCAAAAGACTGGCAGTTAAAACGTTTTAGTGGTGGGGGATTGTATACTCGTAACTGCAAATCCCAAGTACCCTACACGTACGACTGAATGCAGCGGCTGGTAGTATCGGAAAACGGATAAACTCGGAGTTGTTTCAGTATTATTTGTATTTCGTACTTTAAACTCTTTGCCTTGACGTGCTGTTTGCCTAGGAAGTATGATATGTCAATCGACACTCGACATATTACACCTTTCGACTGAACGTTTGTTTGTTCATATTCTTCCGCTTTTAATAGAAATTTTCGCGTCACCCAGTTGTATGCAACTTGACAGTTTCATCATTTGAGATTTACCACAAGAATCCACCAATAGTTCCCCACTAACCAAAACTTTCACTTGTTCACGTAACCTTTATTAACTACATTAGGTTTATATGTCCTTATTGGACGGTCAACACCTGACACCACGACACGGACTTTCCACCTTTGTCGTTTTGGTAATGCAACATTTCTCAATTTGATTGAAAACCTAATTTCATACTCACCCCGACATTTTTTTGTTTGTTCTTCAATTTCATACATATCCCACTTTACAGGCCGCAGCGATAAAATAAGTGAAATTTTAAGTTTTCCAATAAGAAATAGGAATAAATACAACTCACAATTTTCCTTGTTAATTCCCGACTTCGTCAGAAGTCCTCAAGCAATCGCAGTCGAAACAACAGTGGTCTTACTTGCTTGAAACTATTTTAAGTAACACCCACACGATCAACATGGCAATGAAGTGCCTTGTCGATGATAGTAGGTATAGTAGATAAAACTGTACATACGTACATGTTAGAAATAAAATATTAATTAAAATATAGAATTAATACTCGTAAAAATGTGCGTATGTTGTGTCTACATAGTAGCAGTGTGCACTAATGTGTAAGTTGTTGAATTATGTTTGTCAGAAGGATTCTGACTTGAGTCGGTGAAACGTTTCAGAAATACATTTGTGTTAGTGTACAACAAGACTATTGAATCAATCATATACAATTTAGATGAAAGAGTTACGAGTATTTATAGCAGACATGGAGATCATATATATACCAAATGTCAGCCTTGAAATTACAGTGCAGAAAGAATAGAGTTTCGGAGACTTTATATATGTCATTGTATATATATGTTTCAAATCAAGTACAAAACGATTTAAAGTTAAACGATGAAAAAGTGAGTAAACCTCGTCAGAAAGGGAATAGAGAAGTAAACTTGCGTCAACTACTTGAAACGAAATTTCATAACATGTTTCATTGCTAATATAGACGCCAAGCTAAGATTGGACCCTAATTGGGTAAAGTTGTTTTTCTGTTTCATGAATAAATGGTATTGTTGTATGCGTACATCTAATATGTGCTCAGTGAGTTCACCTGATACAGGGATTACAACTGATGAAAGTATACTGCGTGATGAAGAAACAACCAGTAAAAATGTAAAACAATTTCAGATTCAATTATCTGGGCATTTTTAGGGATTTAATAGTTTATTGGGGTTCGGAACGGTAGTTCAGATCAACACGCAAGATGTGCCAACTAATGCCAAGATGCCAACTAATACTTACTTCCTCAACTCGATTTAGTGTTGATATATTGGAAAAGCAAGTTAACAAAATGTATGATATTGAAGCTTTTCCGTGAAACATATCTTAGTTGCACGTTTTGAAATAGCATTGGGAAAAAGTGAAACAAAAACTACCCAAAATACTTTACCCAATGCACGCACTGTTTTAGAGCAAACGTTTTGCTCAACGTTCTGATTCGTTTATAGTTTTTTCTTGCTGAAGGATAATGTTATTTCCTCACCACACCATACCTTGCTTTATGGAATTTCTTTCTTTGGACCTATTCTCCGGTTTCATAGCATTGACGTAGTGACTGATTTTCAAGAAATGCATTCTTACTAGACACCGGTTTCATAAAATTACAATTTTGAGTTAATTAAGTAGGTTTTTAAAAAGTGGAGGTTTAGTTGATAAACTCAGTCACGACGGCCATATAATGGTATATGAACTGTCAGTATTTATGACAAACTTAACCAGAAGCTAAGATTGAATTGATGAAAAGGACCCATTTCATTATTCGTATTTTAAATAAATATTGTGAAAATAGTGACATAGATACGCTGTGGTGGTTACGATCAAACCTGAACATTTTTAAACGGCTGATAATGGGGAGTCCCTTTCGGGCCGACAACTGGCCATACATATTCAGAATCGTAATGAATTGAAATGCCTAACAGACGTTTGATAATACTAACCTACGATATCAGGCTATATTTGAAACAGTAAATAAATATTACCGATGACGTATTAAGGTCCAGGTGTTATATACCAATATAATCCCATGACGCACTTATTCGAATTTGTATCTGAACGACTTTTGTTAGAATGGCATGCCTCGTTCGTTAATTTTCGATTTTACTCTTCAGTGTAGTATGACAAGTGAAGCAAATCAAATTATCGACATCGCATAGCTGGTCCACTTTCTCGGTGGGTGTTCGGTGCGCATGACCTTACAACTACAACTACAACGAGTAATAATTTGCAGTGCTGTTAGAAGTGGGTTATCACGGAAACGATGAAACTGATTTTGAATATATATATTTTTTCAAAATTTTTGACGTCACTATTTACATAAAGTCGATTTAGTTTTCTACTTACGAGACTCGTATGTGCTTTCAAAAACCGCCTCAACAAAATACGAGGGCAGTTAGAAAACAATCATTGATGACGTGTACTGAGAACTTGGTTCAAAACTTTTATTGAGTTTATACTGACAGTCGTGCAATTTATTTTCTCGTATATTTAGTCAAGGTACGATGCTATCAAGTTACATTGGTATGGAAACCAACTTTGATCTGGAATGATTTATGCAGTTCATGTTTTCATCAATCATAGAATCAGGTGCCGTTGAATATTTGAATGAGAAAGTAGTAACGAGGGGACGAAATGTATAATGAAGATGTTCTGGAAAGATTAATAGTTAAACTGAATATAGCGATGAATATCTTGCAGCACTGAATATCAGTAACACTTCATAGGAGTTGTGCCGTCATCCTTGGATGACTTGACAGTACATATTGGTAAATTTTTTCTAGTGAATGATACCAGGTAAACGTGGAATACCAATAATCGTTTTGTGTTTCGATAAAGCAGTCTACCAAATTTTTATCTATTCAACAATATTATGCAACAAGTATTTCAACCCCGGTTTGCAATCTGCAACCATATCTAATTATACAATGATATTATTACTTATCGATTTTTTACTTATCGATTTTATTACTTATCGATTTTAATCGTTACTTATCGATTTTAATCGAAAGTAATAGCCTTCTGGCGACAACAACAAGCTTTACCACTGAAGATTTCAAAGCAAATGGTCCGATAGTTGACGAGCAAAGCGATTTTTTTTCACAATACCAACATTCTAACAAAACTATCTATAGGTCCACTTCGTGTCCAACAAGGAGCGCACTAAATACCCCAACCTAATGAAAATTTGTCATAAACGGACGTCATAAACGGATCATATTAATTTGCGGTCGATTTCTACAGGGTTGATTTATAAAAAAAATAGTCTCGCAAACGAAGTCTATTTCATATGAACGGTAAAAACTGAAAATTTTATAGAATAAAATTCATCACAAAACTTTTTCAGTGATAACCCACCGCTAAGACAAGGAAAAGTTGAGACCAACACAAACAAATTTGCGTCCTTTATAATGTATATGCTAATTCCACAACCCTTCAAGACACAGGTCATATTCCTTAATATAACTAAAGTTAAAATATTTCAATTACAGGTTTAACATTTTCCATAGCCTAATTAGAAAAATGTGGAAGGCCACGCTCTTCCTGTTGGTGTGTTTGTCAGCGATGGTGTGTAAGTCATTTATTACTATTTATAATTATTGTAAACGGTACACAACCGAGTAGATTCAAAACTATTCCATGAACCTTTGAAGCATCATGTCGGCGGTATTGCATTTGCCTATTGATCAGAATAAAATTAATATATATAGTATAATAAATTTATCTCAAGGGAAAATAATTTGCACATACTAAAAAAATGACAAACCTAGATCTCCGGCCCACCGGTTCACAGTTTATGCAGTATATATCAAAACTGCAATTATGTTTTATACAGTGCTATGTACAGCGAATGAAGAACGCGAGGCAGATGTGAGTAATTTTCAACTTACGTTTAATAACAAATTTAGTATGCACTTTGGATTTAATGTAGAGGAAAATAATTGATTCTAACTATATCGCTTAGTTCACAGATGATAAAGATGTTCAATAAATAAAGAAGTTGAACAATAATGCCTATATAAACAATATAGTCGTACACTGTTTTGAACCCTGAAGAAAATTTACTTGGCCTGGTTTAAAATATATATAATAAATAGCCTACTAGCTTATTTGGATGTAATGTGTGTATTAAAAATAATAAAATACACAATGCCGTTATTAGAAACATGTGTCAAAATAGTAAAAAGTATCATCATCATCGATGTATATGCACGAAATGCATCACCTATTAGGAAAATACATTTCATCTGAAAGTCTAGTTCATAAAGTTTGGAGACCGTGAGTTACAGTTAAAATATGTTGGAGCAAGCAATAACATTTTCGTTTTACACCCTAGTTGAAATGTTCAGAAAGAGAGTCCAATGGCATTTGTCCAATGATCCTATCTCCAGTGTGTGGAAGTGACGGTGTGACATACGCCAACAAATGCTCACTGTGTGAAAGGAATGCTAAGCAACCAAGAGGGTAAGTATATTTTTGGGACATTGTTTCGGGACGTTTAGCAAGGCAGGAAGGCATACTTGAAACTTTCCTCCACAATGAATCACCCTGCAGATGCGATTTCGATATATATATACTAAATGTGCTTTTCCTTATTCGTACGAAATATATATATATATATATGTAGATGTAATCATGTTGAAATAAGTGTCAAACGAATGCAAAAATAATAGAAATAGCCCCGACTCCAGATCAATACTCCGATAAAATTAAACTATGTTAACAAAAACTTTGGCGTATTCAAGAATTCTTTCATAGAGTTGAAAGAAGGCTTAGTAAACCTAATCCTTCTTGAATTCTTATATCACGATAGAAAACGACGATTTCAGAAATTCGACTCCGATGGATGGACTCCAGGCTTCAGTGAGATATGCCAAACTCCGACTCCACAGTCTCTGTTAGGGTGATTACAAGTCTGGATTTAAACAATGAGACGCCCTAGGCCTAGGCTATGCCATTTGTGGTGCCCTTCTTTATCAATGACGTAATAAATATTTTATCATGACGTGCACCGTAGATTTAATCCGTGAAATACCAACATTCAATACGGGAAGGATTGTGCACTAATCCCCAAGTAGATTGAATAGTAATTTGCATTTAAAAACACTCGAAGAAACTAGAGGCTGTAATAAAACGTCATGGCACCGGAAATCCCAGCGTCATAAGACCCGTGTCTAGTCGAGATGGATAGTAGGCGGGTGTAGCCCAAATACTGATAAATAAAGGTACATTCCATTTTGTGAAAAAACGGGTCTAAGATAATATTAAAAAATCCATAATAGTAAATATATATAATTGTCGAATTCATTGTTGCTTAGATAATTTAGTATATTATATGTAACGATATTTTTTTAAATAAGGCATTATTAGGTTAAAAACTGCTCAAGTAATGTAAATTAGCATATTTTGTTTTTAATATGGAAGAAGTAGAGTATCATAAATTAAGACAAATTCATTTATTCGACCGTAACCTTTTAAATTGTATATATTTGGGACAATAAATATTAACCCGATAAAACAAATATCAGTTCTATTATGAAACGAGCCTTAAAAATTTGAAATTGACCTAATAATCGAATAATAGGTTAAAATTGAAAACCGATGCACAAAGACGTCACCCTGCGTTGCCTAATGGCAAATCCGGCCTTGTAAAAACGCAACACCATAGCGCCTCGCGGCACATTTGTTAATTCCGATGTCTTCTCAAATCAAGATGTTTCATCGAATCTGAGCCCTTTTTCATTGATGAAACACTCAACGTCTTCGTTAGACGCCGTTTCTACCTGTAAGTTCCTTGCTCGACTTTTATTAAATCTAGAGAAGCGGACTCGCTGTGGACAAATTTCTACGCTTGTGTCGTTCCCGTTTTCAGGGCTGATTTTTCATATAAATTTGCGTTCTCAAACTGCTTTTATTTTGACAGGACTGCAAAAGTAACACTGCGACACTCTGGCGAATGTTAATTGAAGATTCCTCTCGAACAACTGTGATCAAAGGGCATATATTTACAACTTAATTCTTCAGCGAGCGGTGTAACGATAATAAAAAATTGGGTGTAAATAAGTTATTTTCCATATGTCGATCTACTGTTTTGTCGTTTTAATGTTCCCCGGGGACAGCGGATTCATTCAAGTCCGCCAATACCAACTTAAGCCTAATCCATAATTTAAATCTTACAATGAAGTTGAATTGAAGCACACCACAACACTAAGTCCGCCCCACCAAAGTATGGACTAGCATTTAAATTGCCAGATAGCAATCCTGATTTGGTGTTACGTAGCATTGTGCGTTGCCCACAAAACCTGAGTACTAGTCGCCATTCGCCAACCGCTCATGCTTGAAAATGGCCAAGAAGACAGTGGCATGTCGTGTTGGAGTATCTTAAAATTTTGCTTTGAAGCAAAAAGCATAGAGAAGACAATATAAATAATATAGAGACACAATATTGTCATCCTGGTGGGAATTTGATGAATACTTGCAATGCAAGATGAATTAACAAAATATATTATATTCAAGAAAAGATACAGCGGCCGAAAACATGACGGTCAAAAATAAGTGCATAGCTAAAAAAATGAAAGAACAAACGACATTTAAAATTCCAGCAATCTAGAAGCTATACTCCCTCTAGAATATGTTCCAAATAAGTTGGGTTCTGTTCTTTTTAGGCCATTCTGTCGTATACATAATAGACAATATAAGCCTACTGCTTCCATCGCAGGGGTCGGCAACGTTTTGTAGCTCGCGGGCCAAAATAAAGTTGCAAGTCATTGGCGGGCCGCACATATTCGTAAAAGTTAAAATCCAAACGGATGGCCGATGAATCACATTTTTTCACACATATCTGAAGTTTAATTTTTAGCAGAGTTCGAAGACTGACCATTTGAATATTTTCTGCGCCACCAAACCAATTGCACTTAGCATCAACTTTTCTGCTTTTTGTTGTCATTTGTCTAATTATACCTAAATTATAAGCTCATTCAACTAGTTATTGAGAATTATATACTTGTTAGGTTATAATATAATTTCTGGCCCGTGGGCCGTAGGTTGCCGACCCCTGTCTATCTAAAGTCCAACACAACCAAACGACGAGCCAACGCAGCAAATAAGTGCGTATGAGTAAATCGAACGCTGTACACAGGACTGCTGACTTTGCCCGCAAGGTAGAAAGTCTGAAAAGGAGAAAAAATAAATTAGGATCACTTCTTTGGCAGATAACAACTTATAAGTAATTTAACACTCATATGATTTAGAACAGCCATGTCCAACCCAAATGTCTTCTGGGGCCGCAAACTATATTTCAGTTTTGCCGCGGGCCGCACATTAAATAAAATTCCATACACCATACATTACAGTTTAATTTTGGTAGGATTTGGCGTTTGTGGAGAAGAAGAATTGAAGTAAAATTGAGTCCTCTTACAATGGTACGTTACACAAAAATTGGTTTTTATTTCGCGTTTTCTCTGGAAACTTTTATTGTAAACAGCTGGCGGGGGATCGGCGACAAAACTTCCAGTGGGGCGCATGAATTCGTCCGGCGGGACGCACGGGTCCGAGGTTTAGAAAACGGAATAAACTGAAGTGTAGCAGGTACATAGTGATGGTTACTGTGGATTCAATATTTTAACCAATGAATAGCGCACGTTACTGACGCAAAACAAGGTGCTATTCTTTCCTTACATAATTAAAAAAACGTGTTTTTCACGCACATTCATATTGACTTTTTGAATAACAGGAATACTCAGGACCAGGAGTGCAGTGGGTTGAATAGAGACTCTTGAAGCTGACTCTGAGACTATTGTTTGATGTACCCATTACCTTGTCTAGTAAAACTGTGTTGATCAGTCTACCAACAAATATTTACAACACTTCTAGGTGGTTTTCGAACAGTAACAAAGCAAAACACAAATTAGACTACTTTTCATAATAGTCAACGCTTACTTGTAAACAATTTTTCATTCTGGTGTCCCACAGTCTTGTAACGCCATGTCGACAAGAACCCGATACAAACCCATACCTGCAATCTGATGTTACGCAATACACCGTGTTATCGTGGGGTTCTTCCCAGGAACGAACGCATTCTCTGTTAACGAAAGTATGTGAAAATTTCATCAGTTCCAAAGTAGATTGTTTACAATAAATTAACTGCCTCGGAATAGATTTATTTGACAACTATCTTACCAATAAAATACACTGTTTATCGAGATACAATGACGTATAGGCGTGGATGAGGTACCCTGTCCAACTAATAATTCAAATAATTGATATTAACGCTTTTCGGTACAAGTTGCTTCATGTAGGGAGATTGTAAAAAGATCCTTTTAAAATCAAAATTGGTACATAATTTCCCAAATATCAGTATATTTGACTATACCTGTAACTTGTTCGAATATCCCACAATCTTATATATGTGTCGTATCCTGTCGACATTAGAAGATTGGGAGATTGAAAATGACAATCCAAGACACCAGATCCGTTCTTGTATGAATGACCGAGATTATACAAATGCGTTGAACTGGAATTGACATGTATGTGTATGTGCAGCATGTTATTAGTGATAATTTATTTATTTATTTACATTTGTGTTCCCTATGGTGATTCAGAATTCTTAGGTACCACTACTATTGAATAAAAAACTACAGGATAGTTAGTTACCACTTGAAGGCGCTCTGGAGTAACGTGGCAAGCTTTTCAACGACCTAAACAATTTAATTTCCCTTCGGGGCTAAAATGAAGCGCCTTGTTAGATTTACAAAATAAAATTCAAGCACGTTTGATAAATTTATTAAGAAAAATCAAACATCTGCCGCTGTGGGAACATGCGAGTTGCCTTCATAATCAACACAGGAAAGGGACCCGGTTCCGCGCCATCGACGCTGTGTGATAATTAGCTACATATTCGTAAGTCATCGAAAGAAAACAAAAATGTATATATTCGGCCTTTTGGAAATGCGGAAAACAAAAGATAAGCGAACTATTTGAAACGCACCGAATGGCGTGTAATCACCTTTCATCTCACGTGTGGCGCGGTCGCTAATTTGATGTAGAAATAATCGGACTGCTGATATGTATCGCCACGTAACTTGTGATTATGTAAATGACGCGGTATGCTCGAAGAAACATTATAAAAACACCATTAAAATCAGTAATTTTGTCAAGAGATTGTAAACTAGGTTGATATTACAACGAATAAATAACGTTTTCCAAAAAAAGCACAGAAAGTGCTCACAACATCAAAAGCATCGTTTCATGGGCTCGGTAGGAGTTAATTATCTGCCATGAACAGTTGTTGATTTTGTGAGCAGGAAAAAGTGAATACAATATCTGCAATATATCTGTCTTACGAAAAAATATGGTGAGAATACCGTACATACCTTTCTATATCTCTGATTTGCAACGGATGTGTCCCACCTGTTCCTCCCGACCCAACTGCGAATATCCTGCGAAAATAGTGAGAAAACAATGATCAACTAATAAGGTACAGTCGATCCAAGTCCCGATCCTGATATCGTTTCATGCATACCCAAAAGGAAAATACCTTAATTTGGTCGCACTTGTTGTATACAGACCGGTGTGTGTGTGTGTGTGAAACGGGGGACCAGATTCACATACGATATAAAGACCAATGAGATTATATCTGTGTATTGATGACTCGGAATATTCCCATTGGTGTGTCCTATTTGGTATTGTACAAGTTTGCTCTGCAATTATTTTGCATTGATAAACAAAATCCAAATTAAACCTTTTTTTCATTAAAAGTTATCATATTATTTCTTCAAAAAGTCGGGTTTTCAAAAAAACGGCAACTTTTTTAACATTATGATTTCTATTACTTGAATTGATGCCTAATCAGTGCAACGTTGCATACCAGAGACGTGATATTTGTGTAAAAAAACGAAATATCGTCATGGAAAACCTTCTGATGTTTCGAGTGCTTTGATAAACATTTACTAAAAATGGGTTGATAAGCTGCATGGAAAAATTTGATCCAAATCATCTAACTATAAATAATGAAATATGGTATTTGTTTCCTGATATAGGTGTGTTTGTTTGCCAGGGTTCGACCTTGTAATTCAATATTACCCATCACCTAGCGACATGATTAATTTCGATATTATTCGACCCGACAAACAATTCGCTTCATTATTTACTGTTATGGTTACACATAACAGTATATACTTTCGATATGTATAAGCTAATGAAATCAGACACGGGTTGCAAGAAATCACAATAAAACGGGTCATTTTCGTGTCGTCAAAATCAACATGACCCAAAGATAGTAAGAGTCATAAATTTTAATACGGTCGATAATTAATGCTCGAGAATGTCACCGCAAATTGTACAATACACAAGCTGTGTTAAAAATCACTAAACCGCATTGGATAAATTCCGATCCATGAAAAGAATTAGTGTCCGCTAGATATTTTATATCCGGTTATATTACGTGCATGTATGCACATGTGTGCTTAAAAATATTCAGTTATCTCGGAGTAAGATTTTTATTAACCGCAAAACAAAGAAAACGAAGCTAATTCCACATTCCAATAAGAAAATATCTTGATTAGTGTTCCTACGTATATGTCATATCTTTGTTGTGCAATGATAAAAGCACTGTTAAAAAATTTAGTTTAGACGAAATTGAAAGTTGATTCAGATGATTAAAACCACGTTACACATAGGAAATCGGTCAATATTGAAGCAGACCATTCTGCATAATAAATTGAAAGTAAAACTGCAGTAAATCCAATAATGGAGATCACAGCCAAATAACTTGAACGTACGAACGAACATACGCAATGATATAGAACTTACTGAATCACTTTGACGATTTGCAAAAATGTTTTTTCTTTAAATTATGGCCGATCCAGACGCATTTCGCAACCTCACGGATAGATAAAAAAAAAGATTTAAACGGAATTTTGGGGACTTGACGTGACTGTTATTGCAACAGCAGAATGATTGAATTATGACGTAAATATTCATCAAACGAGTCGAAGTATATTTGAACACGGATTAAAGTATTGGCATCAATGACATTATCATTCTTGTGTAGTTTACATATAGTTCTATTTCTGGTAAAATGATCTTCTTTTGATACGAACAACATAAAAGGACAAATTATTGTGATTCCGGTATTGACGGGCATCGGCACGCCAAGATTTGATCTGAAGGGATGGCTTCTATTGTGATAAGACAACAAATCGAGTTATGATAGGACTAGTTTTTCTTGATAACACGCTACTGTCAATTTACAATTGAACATTTTGGGGATTTGAATCGAAGAACGGCGATAATGTGGCATCTGAATCAACACCGTCGCTATTTTCGCCCCGCGAGGTCAGTTTACGACGAGGATAAACCCAGTGTGTTTTGACTTTGCGTTCGATACAATTCATCCCCAAATATACTGACATCCCGCAAAGAATTTTTTTCTTTGTGATCAATTCAGGCCGTTCGTATTAACGCGCATGTCTCGGGATAAAACCGCCCAACAAATCACAGGGCTTTCCCCATTTACCAACGAAATGATCGTTGTTCCAGTAAAGAAATTTCGGCGCTCCAGAAGTGCGTGTACAAATATGGAAGTAACTAATTTTGTTCGCCTATTTTACATAAAGTTGTGTCCAAAGACTGAAACCTATGGGTAGGGGAATATTCAAATTGAGGAAAATCGGAATAAAATTATGGCCTAATCCTAACCTGGTACACATACTACGGGAGTATTGAAATCTCATAAACTTAGATTTCACGACAGAATTTTGCGTCCATGAAACATGTAAAAAATATCAGGATCCACCAACAGAAAACATGAATGTCATGTCGTTGTAATTAAATATACGATTACTATTTCGACATTAATTCCATAAACATTGGGAACATGTATATTGTTAATATATCAACAAGGATAATCCTATTTTCTTTGTAAAATTTTATGGTGAACAAGCAGCTGAGTACAGATAGACACATTACTTGTTCTCGCTTTTTTGGTGGCCGAAAAGATAGACGCATGGCAGCTTTTGCGAGAATTTGTTTGAAGCAAAGGATTAAACGTCAGTCAGATAACCGAACTGTCAGATAGAACACTATCATGATTCAATAATCATCGCCAATAAATTCGTTAGCCAAATAAACAATTGTTATCTTAGTTTCAGTGTAAAAATGAGTTCATTCTGATTTGACAGCTTCTTTGTAATATAATATACAGTTGAGCCAATTTCATTCGATAAATTTATTACAATTTAATAATGTCCCAACCATGCGTTCCTCTCACGATGTAAATAAATATTACGTGTATAACATTTTATTAGTATATCCACCAAAGCGTAAATCTGATGGGCACGTTGCACCGTGAGCCATGACAACTTGGCAAATAAAATCAGACAGATCTTAGAGGCATTATTAATAGTTTTACCAAGATGAAGTGTGATAAATTTAATGAAAAGACAGTCACACCCAAGGTCTGTAAGAGAAAAGATCTTTGATAAGTTTATCAAACAAATGACGGGTGAAGTCTAGACTAGGAGCTTGTTTTTGAAGTCAGCTAAAGTGAAAAAAAACGGACGCCTTCACAACACTCGCGACGAAAGATATGAAATATCCAGCAGTTGGCGTAATCACCATGGCACGTGCTTCGCTTCACAAATATAAAAGGATGGAAGATGGTAAGCATTTCTTGGTAATGTCCGCTGTACTGGGGTGTACAAGAAAGATTTTGATCAAGCTAATCAATTTCCCTTGTGACCCGAGATGACCTTTTAATAAATCCCATCCAACTGTTAATGCCCAAAACCACAATGCAGACTAAACTAAGTCGTTAATTTCGGCTCATTCTGTTATATATACAGACCAGTAATCTTCCACTGTTTTTCGCGGACCAAAAAGTGAAAAAAAATTATGACGTTATTCATTCAGTCGTTTGAGATTGATTAGGTCTCAATCGTTTTTTATGCATATATATATGCAATCTCCACAGAAAAATGGGTCCTAATCGAGTATTCAAACACGGACACAGCAGCGTTGTTGATAAAAATCATCATACGATGATTTATTAAATTACTGATTTCGCCGAAGCAAACCAAGGACGATGATATCGGCATTCTATGTTTGTTATGTCATCAAGGATTATCGCGAAATGTCTATTCCAGCGATCAACCGGAGGTATAACTGAATTAAATGTGCACGTATATACCCTCCAGCTCACAAAACAGAAGCTCTAGTGTTAAGACTATAAAATAACTTTGCATTGAAAAAAATATCAGGATTAAGCAAAGCTGTGGGAAACAAACCGCGTTCACTATATGAATGAATGGTAGCGATATGACATCACCTGAAAACGAGCGACATGCATTGCGGCATCAGTACATTATTTTAAAACCCTCAAATCGAATACCACATTTGAGTGGTGTTGTTCTCTCAACTTTACCACTACATTACGATGGAAGGTTTCCCCATAAATATAAATAATTTAATGAAACTTACAAGTTGGCCTATTTACAGTTATAGAAAATACATCATTTCTTATCCTTCAATCCAGAAGAAAACATATTTGAAATGAAAAGAAAGATTGTATCTCAGACTTGGACTTTCACCAAACATTTAACAATGAATCATGACAGAAAAATATATTAACCAATGACCATTCTTTCGCTGGTTGGGCATTAAATAGTTTAAATTTGATACCTAACATAAGGCAAAGTCGGTACATATTCCTCAAAAACTCACAGAAGAGAACAAATGATAATGCAACACCAAGATATTGTCCTGGATTTCTACACAGATTGGGGCATCACACTGAGCATTAGGAACACTCTTGCCACAGCAAGTCCGACTACCCTGCGCGGATTCATGGGTTCGAACCCTATGCTGGATAATTTTGTTCGAGAGGATCGCTGGACTCTTCGGCGTCAGAAAGTGGTTCCCGTAAGCCGTAACCGTGGTCGCTCATGGTTTTCTCCACCATCAAGTCCCTGCATCTGAAACAAATAACTATCTAATTTTATATACACAATGTACCTTCTAAATTTGTTTGTTGCAATACTGAGAACATTGTCACCAATATCCTGTGTAAAAAGGTGTCCAAGTTCTTCCATGTTATCTGACAATTTCCAAATCTGTTAAACATGGAAGATATAAAAATGGTTCAAAAGCAAATCGACTATAAGGTCCCTAGTAAGTAGTAATAATATAATCAGTGGCAATACCAACTTTGACAGTGTGATCACGTGATCCAGAAATTATGACATCATCGACAATACCAACATCACTGACATCTGCCGAATGTGCATCGTGCTTTGTTATGAAATGAAGATCACGTAAGGAAGCCCATGATAATTTCCCATGCCTGAACAGAGCAAAAACATCAAACAATATTGAACTCAATGAATTAGATAGGTTATAATGTATATTGATTGATATACTCGAATCATGTTGTTGTTTGAATGCTGACCATGTCAAGTGATGATTAATATTCAATTAACAAATCGATTTCTCCACAACTCTCTGATGTATGATCATGGAACAGCGATCTGGAACCAGTCACATTTAACTTTCCCTTTTTTTTTAAGCAAGTTAAACGAAATATGGTACATAGATGTTTTTCAACCATACTATGGCATGATATGAACCGAATAGTCCACAATTCTTTCCACACAAGACCATAAAAGAACCATTATTAACCAATAACAGTCCATGTTACGTTGTAAAAGATATTGAAGCAGGAGCGATAACTTTGAAAATTTTCCAACTGATAAAATATCGTGCTCTAATAAAGAAAAATCCTACAGGTATGTTTTGGAAAATTGTTCAAACACTCCGCAACATACCATCCTCCCGTAATGATTAAATTATCATCGAGACAAAATCGACAAACATCTGCTGCCTCATGAACAACTGTAGAAGACGCCCAGGTCTGATTGTCATCATACTTTTCCACCGGAAGTCGACCAGCTTTCAACCATAGTTCAGATGAATATTTTTTTACTGCATCCCCCTGAGCAAGATATAGTTCTGCTTCATCCTGGTGATAGGCCAGCCAGGGCAAATAACTGTAAAATCAAGATAATTAGCTGAATAGAACCAACCCAGGACAGAAGACATCATGAACAAAAGTACGATTGCTACTCAGAAAATAAGTTTTCAGTCATATCAGGCTTTCTGATCCTCACTCTTGGTTCAACTTTTCCAGTGTTTGTATCAATAGCAAAAATTTAACCAAGAATGTAAAACTACACGGCTAAATGGTGCTCTGATTGACTGAATAAAGCAGGTTTTAATTGATGCCTCATATAGATCATATAAGACTTTTCAAAGAGTTTGGATGATGGGCACTTAACAATAAACAGCAGAACTGTTCCTGATAATATCCTGATAGACTTCCTGATAATAATTTTTCTGTGAAATTGGAACAAATTACAAAACAGGTAAAACCGATATCTATATATCACACAAAAGATAACATTGAAATATCTGGAAACTCATGTTATGTATTGTGATCAGAATATCACAAACTTAGTTATCAGGTTCTTCTGTCAAAAAGATATCAAAGCTTTGAAATATAGAATATTAACACAAACTTCTTCTCAAACTTGGTAAATGTTTTTTCCTTGCGTCTGCCTTGTCGCCATTTGATTGATAGTCGACATTGCTCTTTGAATTTAGGACATAGAATCATATTCAATCCATGATCTGAGCTATAATGAAAAACACAATAAGATCTATAAAAAGGCCTACTTATATGTAATTTCATAATCGATCTGGGATACAGACCATAGGCGCCAAAGAAAATTAGGTATTCTTGATGCCATAAAGTTAATCTTAATTGTATAGCCGGCGGTGTGGCACTAAGAATACGCTTGCCACCACTTTTCTGATTACCCTGTGAACTCATTCGAGAATTTCCCGGAATCCTCGCCGCCGATATCTTCTTCCAATATCTGAAACAAATAACTAGCTATCTAATCCTATACCCGACATGACTGGGAACAGGACATGAGGCTGTGGTTTACAATATGATAAAGCCATCTTATCAGCTTTCTCCCGCCATGGGATAAATATGTAAATTGTATCCTATCCTACAGCCAGACAGCAGTAAAATGTATGTATGTTATCCTACAACAAAACCGAGCACATGATATGAACAAAGAATTTAGTTTGGTTCCTATGACTATATAAGAACTTTTCATGATTTCATTACTTTCCTCATATATTCTCACCTGGTCATTATACGAGTCTTCATCCATTTCTGCCAGATTTCATTAGATGATGATATTTCATTAAAATAATGGCAAACTTTCGCTATCGTTCGTAAAGACTTCTCATCAAGATAGTGGAATATGATAATCAGAACATCAACAGGAAGCTCATTCAAGTTGATCTTTGCTGTAGGCTGTAGACTAGCCAAGCAAGAAATTCTATCCATAAACAAATGGAATTATCATGACCATGTACTGTACCGATACAAATAGGCTAGAAATTAAATTCTGTTTCAGATTTAAAAAAATTGAACAATTTAACAGCTTAAGCGCATATTCATACCGTACTTTGTCTTACCTGTATCTCATAGTGACTCATCCTGCTAAGCGTTAGGAATGCGCTTAGGGTGGTTCATGTAACCGCCATGAAGTCCATGCTTCCGAAAACAAATAACCAACTAATCCCATACCCGACATGGAATGGCAGAATAGTAACCGGACGAGAGGCCGTGGTTCGCCATATGGTTAAGCTGTCTTATCGACTTTCCTCTCCCCGGGATGAATATGTAAATCCTATATTCACACTAAGATTCGACTAGCCAATGCGGTACGGTAACTGCTGGCGGGCAGGAGTACCGGTACGGTACTTCAACTGCGATCCAGAGATCAGTGAATTATTACCAAATTCCAGAATTCACCCATAGGCAGATAGGCAGATAGGCAGAACCACCATTCAGCCATACTGCTTAGCTGTTACAGAATTAAGGTACTGCTGAATATAATTCGCACATACTGTACCGGTATCCAAGGACTTCAAGGAGTCGGGTTTCCGTATTCCGTCGCAAGTAAAAAACCTGTTGGCAAAGTGAATTCATTTCGAGAGAACTACCAGCAAAAGCATGATGAAGGATCAGGAAAGCAAATTAATTGTACAACTAAGGTGTGACCCCTGATCCTTGACCCCTGAAATATGCTCCCCATCACTGATGGACCTTTCCCCGACCTTTGACCCCCAAAAAATTCTTCCTATACTTTACCATTGCAAAATTTTCGGGGCTATTTTAAGAGTGCTTTTCCGAGTTGGCGCCTGTAAAATGGGGTATTTGTTTCAAGCCATCATTATGATTCATTGCATACAACAATATCTTTTTTAAAACTACCGGTAAAGAATTTCAGGCTAATCTATCACAGCTATTTCTACACTAATTTTTATTACTGCAATTAAATTAAAACTCCTAGGAAGACAGAGTGATCATTGAATTATCTGATTTATATTTAAGTTTCCGAAACACAACTGAAAACTAACGAATAGAGTTCAAAAACGCGAAAACGAGGTAATGTTTACAACCACACTTGAAAATCTGTCTGAGTGAGAAAAGTGTCTGAGCGGATGCGAAAAGGGGGCATTGTTACGTCACGTTTTGCATCTTGCTGATTGGCCAATGTCACGAAGTAAACAAGGAAGTCGATGCTCGGGGAAAGGTCCATTGTCTGAGCAGGTATTAATTTTAATTTTGTTTAACTACACAATTACTGTTATACAATTACTGTTACACAATTATTATCTAAAACAATAAAGCACGTGCCGCTTATAGGTACTGACAGCTAATTTTAGGCTAGTCTATCGCAGCGTTTGCGATATCAACGTTTGATTATTGTAATTAAACTAAAGGTCCTCGGAAGACATGATGACAATTAAGTTATTTGATTTACAACTATATTTTGGATAAATAACTAAAAACAGACGAATAACACGCAAAACTACCAAAAGAGGGAAAAGTTTACAACTGCGCTTTAATATCTGTCTGAGCGAAAGAAGTGTCTGAGCGGCAGCATATATCCAATTGTTACGTCATTGTAAACTTATTGCTGATTTGCAATTCTTACGGAAATAAACAAGGAAATCGATGCTCGGGAAAACATTCATCGACCGCTGACATCCTCCAGCTCGGTGTTTCTTAACCTATATGTTAATAATGTCTTGGTTATATGTTGAGTTCTGCAACCAAGATATTATATATTCATGGGTGGCAACAGCCTCTGATGACCCAAAATGTCGTATCGTTGTCGCCCAGTCTTATACCAAAGCATCTGTTTTTTATTATTTATATATTCATGCATGTATTGTGTGTTTCATGGTTCGATAAATAAAAATAAACTCTATCGCTATAGAATAAGGGTTCAACCTAATACGCTTACTTCTTTATTACACCAGCATAACACCCAACATAAGATGCTTACAGCATGAGAACAATCTAACAAATGACGCAACTGCGACACGTTAGCACTAGACAGATAGCACAATCAATTAGGGACGTTACTCGACAAGGCAATATTAGCTATCATCAACACTATAGGTTTAAAATATTCTTGGGCTGCTGGCTTGTTTCATTTAAATCGTAAAAGTTACAAATTTTAAATTATCGTAAATTATATTGTTTGTTTTATATCTGGTATTAATTAACGTGTTGCCCTAATAGTGATTGCATGTGTGTTGAGTATCACGCCGTAAAAACTTGGCAGCATTCATTTTGCTTAAGTAAAGCACGCGTCAATTCCAAAAACTCGATGGCAAACACGCGCAGTTTTTTCACTTCCCAGTAATTTTCTGGAATATATATAAATGTTTATAAAATTAATTGTTTTATATTATTCATTCAATTTTGGTCATCAAATTACTACACGTTTAGTTTTTGAGCATGATGTAGTTGGGAACCACTGCCACAGAGCTTCTATATAATAACAACTTTTTTTTATTCACAATTTTTTGCATATATTTTAGCTATCCGTAAAATGCTGGAGTGAACTTCACTTCAACCATACAGAGTGTACAAACCTATTCTGAGACTTACACATTTTGTCTGTTTTCATCACTGCAGAATAGTTGCCGATTTCTTTCCTCCTTATTTATTTGCCATGACCTCCTTCTTAAGTATCTGGAACATCGCTATCGTCTCCCATTGGACTTTGTCTCCGCTGTACACCAGCATTTTCTGGATACTTTTCACCTAAAAATGCTGAAAATGCATGAATGTTTTCTTTTGCATGATTTCATGTATGTATATGCTCGTGCAGTGTATGTGTATATATTAACAATAAAACTGTGTCGTGATTTTTAATCAATTCACCACAAAAATCTCGTGAAATGGATTCTCTCACAATAAGTAAATATACGGATATATATATCCCTTATCCGAATAGTGAATATTATGGATAACACCAAAATATACTAAAAAAAATCTAAAAAACATCTACTCTTTTACACACTCACACCCATATAATGCGGTACTCAAGTTCTGAGGGGGGATTTATCAGTCAGCCATATTCCTAAAGAATAAATTAAACGTAAATTTGCCGAGCTTAATTAATCTGCGAACCGGTATAACTCATAATCCACCATCTACGATTATGACTGGCTATAAATTTTGTTAAGACTCGTGAATTATTTGGCAATAGCAAAGCATAGAAAGAAAATTTCGAATGCCAGGGAAACATCCGTTTCTTTCAAATTTTCAGTGCCGACAGTTGAAGATAGAAGCGCCTAGGCTGCTCGGTATTTTTTTCGGTCTCCCTATGCTCTGGCTTTGCCGCAGAAATTTGGTAATTTCTATAAAACTGCACCCCTACTAGGTTTTCCTTCCAAAATCGTATTGATTTTGACGAGCAAATGGTACGCAACACCTCCGCGTTCGTTCAATTTGGCAGCTTCTTCGAGGTTTGACTCTCTCAAAACTAATAGATAGTCATTTCAAAATCATTTGTCTAAAAATATTCAAGCAGCACAAAGCACTATGATAAACAATCTATCCCAGCCGCTTTGGCTGTTGTTTTTAAGTTTTGCAGATAACATGAAATTTGCTGACGTCTGATAAAATATGATTTACAAGATGCGGACTTACCTGAGCAAATCTAGAAAAGTAAAAAGAGACTCACAAACTTAGAACTACCAAAATGAAGTATCTAAGTAAAAAGTGCTAGATTGGCTGTAGTAGGGCAGGCCAAACCTCGACTGTAATTTTGCATTTAACTCCATTTTGATCAGCCATTGGTGAAAAAGTAAAAAATGAATCAATTGGTGAGTGCTGAAACACCGATACTATTTTAATCGTAGGCTATAATACAATAACTGAAAGGTTTTCTCTTCTTCGACTTTAGTGTGTGTGTTTAGTGTTAGTGTTTCCAAATTTCACATTGGCTTAGAGTTGTTTCTTACAATGAAATGAGATTTTCTGAAATTATGGTATTTGAACACAAACTAGAAATATTCGAAGGGTCATGTCAAATGATTTAGCGCAAAAACGTGTGAGTTTTGGGTATGCTAGAACTCAAAATGCAAGATTACTGATTATAACTGATATAGTCTCAGATGTGATGTCTTTTATCAGTTAGAACTTGTCTCGAATACAAGACTGCGTTCGGGTGCATCACGCTCATTGTTTTTGTGCAAACGCGACGTGCCTTCAATGTTTATTACTTATTCGAGAGATAAGTTCTTAATCGCATATTTTTATATGGCTTTTATTACACTAATCGGGTTATCATGAAGTTAAGATTTCAGAATGATATTTCATGATGTAGCGAAAAGACTACGGATTCTAAAAATTACGGCGTGATACGTTGGAAGCACAGTCGAAGAACATTCGAAAAAAAAATTAGACATATGGCATTCGATTGTGATGGAGCGATAATTCATTTGTAGATATATCGCTAAAAAACGTTATTAGATTACTTTTTCGCTAACATAAATGGAATTTAGACCGTATCAATCAAGTTCAATTAGATGATATATTTTCGGTTTGCAAATCGCCATAGAAATATTTACATACATATTTCAAACAACCAAATCGTTTCCGCATAGTTCGTACCTCAATGACCTGTGAAACTACAAACAAGAATGGGCATTTTCAGTCCGACGTCAAACTCAAGAAAATTACACGAGTTTGTGTTGGTCGAAATGTTAAGTGTATGACACGATTCAGCTGTGTTCTAAGACGGAAGAATTTGATATCGAATGGCATGGACTGAAATACAAGGACATCAGCAAAAAATATAATGCATTAGCTGGGGTTTATTAATTAAGCTGAAAAACGATGCATAAGACTATGACTGAGCAGGATGTCTTGGAAAGATTGAAACTTTAAGCGGAAAATTATATTTATTTGAAGCACTGGAACAGCTTAAACCAGCATTTCTCAAACTTTTTTGTCCCGAAGCACCTACACTTTTTATCTCGCCTCGCGAAACACTAAGAAATTAGAAGATAGAACTGATAAAAATAAAATTGTGTAATGAATTTACTTTGTGCATCAACTCGCACAA